CNGTTGTTTCTATTCATTGCTACTGCTTTGCAACGTGGACTGACCTTGTATCGTGTAGGATGTGCAGATGAGGATGGCGATGAATAGCCATCGATGGCGATGAACAACCGTTGATGTGCCGAGATGTTGTCGTCTGGCAAAAATCGGTTAGCGAGCCGATGCATGTAAAGAGGCCAGCTTCGCGAAATACCGCGCAGCTTATGTCGGCAGCGCAACTAGTCTACAACCGCCAGCTTTAAAGCAACCGTATCTGAAAATAAGTAAACCGGATGCGTATATATGCGGTGCAATTATATTGTAGCGAGCCAACGTCCGTGAACAAAACAGCTTCACAAAATGCCGTACAGGCTACACGGACAACGTTGGACAAGCACTGCACACTTCAGTGCGCGTCAAATTTCGTGGTTCGGTGTACATTAAATTGCGCGTTGAATTGCATGTTTAATTGCACGTCGAGTTGTGTGGTGGGTTGCGCGTTAAAATGCGCGAGTCGGCGCATGTCAAATTGCGCAGTGCGGTGCAGCCAATGTTTTGCGATTTGCGCGTTAAATCGCGGTGCGGTGCGGTGCAGTGCGGTGCGGTGCGCGGTCCCGAATGAAAAAACAACAACAACTCTTGCACCGGGATCGAGCCGGCGACCGCGGTTCCCAATTAGTGTCGGAGCTAGCGCACACCACAAGCGGTGAGCGTCGATGCTCCGGGGCGCATTGCGCGGGTCCAGGTGTGGTGCGGTGCAATGCACTGGCACACGCAGTGTGGCGCGGTGCGGTGCAACGCGGTGCAGTGCGGTGCGGCGCGGACACCGAAGCGGTGCACGGCGTTGCTCGGGGGTGCATTGCGCGGGCCCAGGCGTGGAGCGGTGCAGTCCGGGACGACACGGTGCGGTGCACGGTCCAGTCCAGAACGAAAAGAAAAGAACAATAAACGACGACGACGCGAAAAACGAACCACGCGACGACGAAGGCAGCGCTCCCGAACGAAAAATAGAAGAAAAAAACGTGCGGGCGCCGGGCGACGAAGCCAGCGAGCCGCATCGTAAACGTAAAAATTAGACACAATAACGCGCCGGCGCCGGGGTCGAACCGGCGACCGCGGCTCCCACTAGACATCGGAGCTAGCGTGCCCGACGAAGCGGCGCACGGCCATGCTCCAGGGCGCCTTCCGCGGGGCCAGGTGTGGTGCAGTGCGGCGCGGGGCGCCGAACCGAACGAAGGAAGAAGACGAAAAAAGCGGCGACGGCGGGGCGCGAACCGGCGACCGCGGCTCCCACGCGGCGACGGAGCTAGCCTAAAAGGCGCGGCTCCGAAACCGCGGACGACACCCCGAAAAACGCGAAAACAGCAAGCGGCCACCCGGACGGACGGTCAGACGGACAGACAGAAAGTTGGGGTAAGGTCTCCGTCCCGACGACGGAACGACTAAACGTCGTCCGTCTAACGTCGGGACTACGACTACGGACGGACGGCGAATCGGCCCAAGGCCTCCGCTTTCCTACTTCGTAGGAGCTACGGCTAACGGACGGCGAATCGGCCCAAGGCCTCCGCTTTCCTACTTCGTAGGAGCTACGGCTATGAGCTACGGCGATGAGCTACGGCGACTTACACCCACTTACACACACAGGCACAGGCACAGGCGTCATGTTTCACGCACAGCGTACACCGCCACACCCAGCTGTGCCCGTGCAGTAGGCCTCAGCCCTGCTCGCTCCTAATTAGCCGCTACTTCTGCATGAATGCGGCATCATCAAGGCCGCCGCATGCGTACATACATTTCGTTGACGCGAGAGCATGTTTGCACTTGCCCCCTTACACACGCTCCTTATGTAAGGAGCCCTAGTGCGGCCTGGCAGTATGTAGATGCAACCTGGAGAACCCCAAGCAACCAGACGCTTTCTCCAGCCCAATACAATATTCTGGCTCCTATTAAAGGGAAAGAAACCCGATTGCAGCTGGTTGTATCATCCATCCAGCTCCCTGCATGTCTGTTGGACCATGACCATCTTGCAGTTCCACAGCCGCAAACTCAAACGGTATGCATGGACTCCCAGCCGGTGGCTGAGCCTGCATGCCACGCAAGGTGATGATGGCAGCACAGCTAAGGCTTGGTACGTACCTGTATGCATGGCATGGGGATCGTGGGTGGAGGATACACCTGCCGGTGCAGGATTACACATGGCTCCCTGTGTAGCAAGCTACATTTCCCTTAGAATATTTTAACGACTACTTTTAACAATAACTGTTAATTTGTTAAACGATCTGACTCAAGTTTCGTACATGTTCCGAGTTTCGTCACATGTCGCGAACTGGGCAGCTGTTAGTAAGCGAATCTAACGGGATGGGGCCCCGGGCCCCACCAACATTATCCTAGTACGGCAAGGTCCGTAGTAGAGATTATCCGGCAGGTAGGCCGAGATATAAGCTACCCGGGCGGGGTGTTCTGGCCAGACACTGACGTATCACATTACTAGGG